AGGCGCTAATCAAAGGCATCTCCGATGATATCTATTACATGCATGTGTATAAGAAAGTCATCAGCCAGGTTTCGGCGCTTGACCCCATGACTCATATCCGTCCAGGTGTCAAAAATGACAGGTCAGCATCTAGATCGCGGTCTCCTCGCCGCGGAGTACCCCCCTCCCCGCTGTCCCTCGCCATGGAGTACTCCCCGCGCCCCGCTCCCCCCTCGGAGCTCCTGGGTTAGAAAGCCCTATATACCCCTACTAAAGTATTTTAATTTTTTTGTTTTATCGTACGTAATAAGAAATGTTATCTGAAACGTTGGAAATATTTATTTTGTGATTATAAAATATGGATTAATATAAAATCTTTGAAAATAAAGTATTTTAATTTTTTTGTTTTATCGTACGTAATAAGAAATGTTATCTGAAACGTTGGAAATGTTTATTTTGTGATTATAAAATATGGATTAATATAAATTCTTTAAAAATAAAGTATTTTAATTTTTTTGTTTTATCGTACGTAATAAGAAATGTTATCTGAAACGTTGGAAATATTTATTTTGTGATTATAAAATATGGAATTGTAACGTGAAGGGCCCTGTAACTCGCTCACAGCGCCGCAAAGCCGAGGCGACGACAGAGAAAAGGGGCCAGAGAGGGCGCCCAACGCGGAGGGCGCAGTAATATCGCGCAGCAGCGCAGTAACACCAGTAGTAACTCGCTAGACCACTGATCGATGCAGACGGTCATTTACTGTATCTCAGTTCTTACCAAATACAGTGTACTTCACTATTCAGTTGAGAATTAACCTCCTTCTGTTGAACGAGATACCTTTCTGAGATTCCTGACCTTAACCCTCCCTTGACTCCCGCAATTCGACGGATCTGTAACCCGCACACCACTTCTACTCGAGCGTCGCTCAACAACGACGCTACAATTGGCGCCCAACTTAGTGGACAGATTCGCAACGAAAACCATCGCCTCAAGTCAAGACGTCCTACGTAAACCGATACGACCGACGACACGGTCGCAAGCACGGTTACGATCGTCGGTACCACCGAAAACCGACGAAAGGGACCAGAAGCGAAAGCAAGGGGCCAAGATGACGGAACAAGGCACAGGTAACGCAATCACGTTAACGAGCGAGCAGTTCGCGGCGCTTCTACAGCAGATACAGTTGTCTAGCGCGAACGTCCCCGCCGCAAACATCGCGCACCGATGGGTAATTTCTCGCGATGCACCTCTCGATTCGACGGGAAAAAGACGTTCGATGTGGAAGCGTTTATCGACGCGATTACGACGTATAAAGATTGCACGAACATATCTGACGAAAACGCGCTAAAAGGGTTACCGATACTTCTCACGGACCTTGCCGCGACGTGGTGGCTAGGCATTAAACATACAGTCAACACGTGGAAAGCCGCGATAGATCTGCTAAGGAAAACGTACGGTCCTAAGAAACCGGCATACCGTATATACAAGGAACTATTTTCTCTCGAGCAAGAAGGAAGCGTATCGACGGACATCTTTGTGTGTAAAGCTCGCGCATTAATATCGAAACTTCCGTACGACCCCCCACTACTGGAAAGCGTCCAATTAGACATGGTCTACGGGTTGCTGTCGTATAAGATTCAGAAAGAGGTATCGCACGAGAAGGTTACGTCGTTCGCTGAATTGTTAGACCGCGCGAGGGAAATAGAAGAAACGATAGCGGAAGAGATAGATACCTCAAAACGATCGCCGCGTAAGGACGGGACCCGCCCACGATGTAAATACTGCAAGAACTTCGGCCATACCATAGACGATTGCAAGAGTATCACGAAGAAGCCCGAAGAAAACTCAACCGCGCATAACAAGAAAAGCAAGACGAATTCGGACGCGGAGGACGCAAAGGCGACCAATCCACGACCTCAGTCCGCGATAACGTGTTTCGGATGCGGAAATCCTGGCTACCTTCGTAGAGACTGCCCGAAATGCAACAAAAATAAAGGCGACAAGGACGAGAAAAGCGAGACGAAGCCCGAATTCTGCCTAATAGACGCATCGGAAATACGCGCGAGGTATAGGAATCGACCGATCCTCAAAGTAGAAATCCTAGGAGCGAAAGGCACGGGACTGATCGACACAGCCGCGAAACTAAGCGTCGCCGGACACAGCTTATACAAAATACTTATCAAGAAGGGACAAGTATTTGAGGAATCAAACTTACGCATTGGTTTAGCAGACGGTACGCGCAGCGAGAAACGCGTACTGACGACCAAGGTAAACGTCCGCTTACAGGACCGCGTGGTAAACACCACGTTCATCGTAATGCCATACGCGACAAATAATTACACATTATTAGGCACCCAACGACGGCACCAGGCGGTAACGCGAAGCAGTCGGTGGAGGGATGAGAATCTCAGCAGCTCCTCAGCCTCTTCCGGTGCAGCAGCGACGGCCTCCCAGAGCCGTCGCTTCGGGATCTGCCGATGAACCGCCTTACACGCTGGCAGCTCTTACAGCAGATGCGCGACCATTTCTGGGAACGATGGGCGAAGGAGTACCTGCACTCTCTGCTACATCGACCCAAATGGCATACCAGGCAGGAGGATCTACGGGTCGGACAATTATGTCTCGTACCACTCACGTACCAAGTCTCGTAACACTCCCCCCACTCGGTGGCCGCTAGCGCGCATAATCAAACTGCATCCGGGTAAGGATGGTTTGACCCGCGTCGTCACCGTGCGTACGGCGACTTCCGAGCTCGTGCGGCCCATCGTCAAAATTATACTGTTGCCCGCCTGCGACGAGTAAAATCGCATTGCGTTGCGTATCCCCGCGATCTCGCTAGCAAACCGCCTTCTTCGCCCGGCTTTAAGCCCTATCGCTAAGGAGCGCGTTCATAGCTTTATTTCGCCGATTACCTCCGGCGAGGCGGGCGGGATGTTCGAGATCGCCTCGAACTAAATTCTTAGATTATATTATACAAATATTATACACCGTCGCTGAGCAAACGAGAATCGTGATGTTTGTCCGATCGGCTGACGGCTCTATTGTCCGTACACCTTGAGAGCGTCTTAGGCAAATATTCGCTTCGCTTCTCTCTTGCTGTTGTCTACCTAAGTGAGACAGAAGCATTCGAGGAATAGCGAGTCAGTTTCGGCGAAAACAGCTGATTGCCCGCTAACGCTGTGCGAACGCCGACTGTTTGTCTCTCGAGGTGTCCGGACGATCGGTTTCATTTGAAATCGTTGGTACTGCTTTATTTTGTCGACTCTCAAGTTCGAGAGATCCGGGAAGAGAGGGACGGTATAAAACCCCGACCCGGCGAGCCCGCCGCTTTCTAGTTCTTGTGAGTCGCGATTAGAATCTTTACTCCGGGTGATAAGCGCTTGCGAGAATTGAGTGACGATTGCAAGAGAAAATTGTCGAACGGTGTCTGTCGCGTCGCGCAGGATAGCGTCATTCGTCGCTCCCTACGCGCTCTTCGCCTTTCGCTCGCGTCGCGGTCTTTTTTTTGGACTTCTCCCGCGAACCGCGCGCGCGGTACTTCCGCGTATTTCATACGCGATACGCCGAACTGGGCGTAAACGGCATCGCTCACCTTTAAATCGTCGCTTGTATCCTCGCCTTGTAAAGGACAAGCACAATTAAAAGTTCGATAATCAATTGAATCTGAGATTTAAGTATTGCTCGCTCCCTCCATCCCCTGCAATCCCACACAATTAGGCATGAACTTCATCGAAGACGCGAAGATCGTGATAACACGCCTCAGCGTACATGGTGCTTCGCGGATGACTACGAACCACACGTTTTGGGATTTGAGGACCCCGACGAGACATCGGACCTTTTGTCGCTGAATTACGTCAATACGTTAAGGGAAGATGAAGCTCAATGTCTATTCCCAGAACAGCGCAGCAAGCTGAACGAGACTATCGAAGAGAACGAGGATATCTTCGAACTAGGGGGAGAGCCAACGCCTTACGCCGAACATACTATTGATACCGGCAACCACGCTCCGATAGCTACCCCGCCGTACAAAATGTCTCGCCCGAAGAAGGAAATTCTAGAGAAAGAAATCGACGAAATGCTGGAAGCCGACGTCATCGAGGAATGCGAATCCCCATGGGCAGCCCCAGTCGTGTTAGTGCCTAAAAAGGACGGCACCATGCGGGTGTGTGTCGATTATCGCCGATTGAATGCTGTTACGAAAACCGACTCATACCCGATGCCCAGGATCGACGAATTACTACACCTTGCCAAGAGAACACTATATATGTCAACCATCGACCTGCGTTCAGGATATTGGCAAGTCGGCGTGAGACCAGCAGACCGCGACAAGACCGCCTTTACCACTCCGTCGGCACGTTCCGTTTCAAACGTATGCCTTTCGGCCTTAAGAACTCCGGCGCTACCTTCCAGCGGATGATGGACCAATTCCGAAGAGGACTCAAGGACACCACCGTGTTCATATATCCGGACGACATCTTCGTCATTTCGACGAGCTTCGAAGAGCACCTGCAGGACTTACGCAAAGTCTTCGGCCGGCTACGCGAATTCAAGCTACGTGCCAAACGAGACAAGTGCAGCTTCGCCCGATCCCAGATAAAATTCTTAGGTCATCTAATTACCACCGAAGGAATTCGCCCGGACAACAGCAAAGTGGAGGCCATTCTGAGTCTCCCTCCACCCAGAAACATAAAACATTTACTCACGTTCTTGCAAACTGCTTCGTGGTTTCGTAGATTCATTCCAGGTTTTGCTGCAGTGGCCCAACCACTGACGATGCTGACTAGGAAGAACGCCGTATGGACCTGGGATCGAGACCAGGAAGACGCTTTCGCGAAATTGAAGGACGCGCTCACGAGTACTCCCGTGCTCAGACAAGCGGACGACCGATTGCCATTCATCATACGGACGAATGCCAGTAGCTACGCGATAGGAGCGGTACTCATGCAAGGGACGGGAACCGATGAGAACCCTGTAGAGTACGCTAGCCGCTTGTTGACGCCGGCGGAACGAAACAACACTACAACGGAGCGCGAGGCCCTCGCGATAGTATGGGCCGTTACAAAATTTAGAGGTTACATCGATGGAGCCCAAATTACCATAGGTACAGACCATCAGCCCCTGAAGTGGCTTATGAGTCTGAAGTCACCATCGGGACGACTAGCTCGATGGGCGTTGACCCTTCAAGAACGATCTCCGGATTACTTACGCCCCAGGGAAGACGAACGTCGTTGCCGATGCGCTTTCAAGGCCTCCATGCACAACCGCTAATACAGAGGAATGCGGAATATGTACAATCAGTGTTGATCTGCCTTCTGAGGGAGCCGCAAAACTGAGACAGGAGCAATTATCGGACCCGGAAGTAAAGAAGATCATCGACGCTTTCGAATCGAAGGAAGAACTCGACCTCGCGAACTGGATGTCTCGTGGATACCTGATGCCAAGCGGAGTCCTGTACCGTTACACTCCCACCGAGGACGTTGAGGAAGCCCAATGGGTCGTGCCGAAATGCGCTATCGAACGCATTCTGTAAGAAAATCACGACGCGCCCGAGGCTGGCCACTACGGCGTGGACAGGACACTGAAACGAATATCGAGCAGATACTATTGGCCAGGAATGCGAAAAACGGTCGCCGATCACGTCAAGAAATGTATCGAATGTGAGCGATACAAACCGTCTAACCTGAAGCCCGCTGGATTGCTACGAACCCCCGCAGCGACGAGAAGATTCGAAGTACTAGCAATGGACTTGTTTGGTCCCTTACCAACTACGGCTGAAGGATACCAATGGATATTCATCATCGAAGATGTTGCATCTAAATGGATTGAGTTATTCCCACTACGACGCGCCACCGCAGACGCTTGTGCCAGAACTATAATCGACGAAGTCATGCTCAGGTATGGGATACCACGACGCGTCATCTCGGACAACGGACCACAATTCGTCGGAGCCGTTATGCAACAAGCATCGTTTTGTCTGGGATTTAATCAATCATTAACCCCTGTATACCACCCGAAGCCAACCCGGTCGAACGGAAAAATAGAGAGATATGAAGATACAACTATCGATCCTAGTAGGCAACGCGCGCCGGTTGGGCCAGTAAATTACCTTCTATTAGATACGCCATGAACTCCAACACTTCGTCGGCGACAGGACACACGCCGGCTTACATTACGTTCGCAAGAGAAATGAGGAACCCCGGAGATGTTCAACGGGACTTACGAGAAATCGTCATAGGAGAAAACTTTGTGTCGGAAGTTACCCCTTATCTACTGAAGATTGCAGACACTATGAAGGAGGTAGCAGATGTGCATGAACGACAACAGGATAGGCACAAATTCTACGCGGACGCATATCGAAGACAATCGGAGCTTTTCCAGGAAGGAGACCAAGTCATGATCAAGACACGGATATTAAGCGACGCATCCCGAGGTGTCACTTCTAAATTCGCGCCCAGAAGAGATGGGCCGTATAAGATACAAAAACGCATATCCCCTGTCAGTTATCAATTAGCAGATAACGCGACAGGTAACATACTATCCGTCCATCACGTTGCCGATCTGGAGCCTTGGAAGGGAAATGAACCAGGGAAACCCCTGCGCGCCCCGGTGAGATCTCTTAGGAAGCGTGGACGACCTAAAAAGGGAACGATGGATCAACAACAGGACCAAGCAGTCGGACCTATCGTGAGGGCACTGGATACATCCGAAGGGGGAGTCTGTAACGTGAAGGGCCCTGTAACTCGCTCACAGCGCCGCAAAGCCGAGGCGACGACAGAGAAAAGGGGCCAGAGAGGGCGCCCAACGCGGAGGGCGCAGTAATATCGCGCAGCAGCGCAGTAACACCAGTAGTAACTCGCTAGACCACTGACCGATGCAGACGGTCATTTTCTGTATCTCAGTTCTTACCAAATACAGTGTACTTCACTATTCAGTTGAGAATTAGCCTCCTTCTGTTGAACGAGATACCTTTCTGAGATTCCTGACCTTAGCCCTCCCTTGACTCCCGCACTTCGACGGATCTGTAACCCGCACACCACTTCTACTCGAGCGTCGCTCAACAACGACGCTACAGAATAATATAAAATCTTTGAAAATAAAGTTTTTTAATTTTTGTTTTATCGTACGTAATAAGAAATGTTATCTGAAACGTTGGAAATGTTTATTTTGTGTTAAACAAATAAGATACTATGTGGTTATATGGTTTGTACACAATTTTACTTTGTGTTAAATTGTTGTGACTGATTTATTGAACGTGCGAGTAAGTACATATAAATTGAAATGTTATCAATATCTATAACAAATTTATAAGAAATAAATACATTTATATAAAATGTTTTTTGTATTTTTTTAATGTAGAAATGATCTGCGCAACTCAAAATTTTCAGCCAAATAATCTTTTAATGCATCTCTAATCAAACTTCCATTGAAATTATTTAATTCACGTGCTCTTATTGATTGTGGTTGCGGCAGTTGTAATTTTA